GTACATTATCTATAGGTACATATAATAAAATAACTAAAGTGAATCTATACTTTAAATATTTTTTTGGAAAATCTTATTGAAATAGTTATTATTATCGATACAGTGGCCGAAAGTATACGTTTTAGAATTTTTGTTTGTCTGTCTGTCTGTGACCGCATCACGAAAAAGCCACGGGATGTTGATAAAATTTGTTATGATGATAGCTCGATCAACATTTAGAACGCTTTTTAATGCGGGAAAATATATTATCATCTCTGAAAAATCCTTACTAAACGTTAAAACGTAACTAGGGATGTACTCAAGTAGAGCGAGGGTGAGTCGCTAGTACATACATATATGGCTCCTAACAATGGAATGCTTTTAATACATATAATGATTGCAGATATATGTATGTATGCAAAGAAGCTTTTACCTTCGAAACCTCTGAGTTTAAGTGATATACTCCTATTCAGTTTTAAGTGTATGTTCAATAGGTACATAATAATACAATATTCATTCAACGGTTACATCGACGAAAATCGACTTATTTTTTTACAATTATTAAACCACAATGCTTTTAAAAACGTACACTGACTTAAAAATAAATAAATTCCACTCTAAGTGATATATATTGTTCTTGAAATTGATATGAGAAACACTTGAGATGGACTTGACCTCCATTTTTACATTCGTTACTTACTGAGTAATCTATTCATTGTAAAAAAATAATATATGAAACTCGGATTAAAATTGATAAATATATATTGTCCTTTTGTTCTATTCCGGCCACTGCGACCAATCTCACAGACTACCATCTGCGCAGGAGATATTACAGTGCACAAGTGTGTGCGCAAACATAAGTGCACTCTCTATTTCTATCACTCTCAAGATTCACTTTTAAAATTCGATAGGATGTCAATTTGACTTGACTGGTGGGAAATACTGCACAGCACCGACAGCCTTAAGTGCTCTCCGAGGCACGGGGATGTTACTATTTCTTGACAGAAATATTCAAAGTAAACTTAGTCCGACCCAGATCTCGAACCCAGGACTACATCACCGTAGCAGTTATATAACGCATATACATATAACGCGTAACATACAAAAAAATATACCTCAATTAAATCCCAATTTCTGTTTGAGGTCACTAAGTCAGACATCACTTAAAATTTATAATTCCTCCACCTTAAGAGCTGGGATTCCACCTCTTAGGGTGAAGTTTGTTCTTTTTTTTTAAATTTACATGGAATCACGTATGCTAGCTATTCCTATGAAATGCAAGATAAAAATCGATTCACAATTTAAAAATCGAGTAAAAAACATCATTCATTTTTAAAGTCGGTCAAAAAGGCAAACATAACAGATCGCGTCTAATTATTAATTACTTACCAGTGTAATATGACATTTAATCTCGTGAACATTTCATTTATGTAATTAAATTTAGCTAGAACGGGAAAATCTTCTTAGATTTACATTTTTAATCTTCATGATGAAAATTGTTTTAGCCCTGTTTATGATATATTTGTTTATGTTACAGGATAAGTCGATTCATCCATAGCGTGTCAGGATATACTAGTTTAGCCCGGATAAAATACTAAATACTTTAGGCTTATTAGTTTGGCCTAGGCTGAACTGATTTTGAGTTATTATTCGGCTGCTTAGTATATAGAACGCAGTCTCTGGGGTAGTGGGTGGTATTATCATGCGACAGACCCGACTTGGATAACAGAGATTGAGAAGGCTAAGGCGGAAGCGAAGCGGAGCGTAGCCTTAGCCTTTTAGGGTTTCTTTTTTATTTCAAGCCCAGAACCCCCAATATCATAAGTGCTATGTTATTTCGATCAGTTTGGGTTAGGCCAAAGTAGATTATCCTGGGCTAAACTAGTATATCCTATCTCCTTTTTGATAAACCGGTTTTGCATAGGACAAACTAGTTTGGCGTGAAATCTAGTTTGGCTGGTAACATATATAAATAAAAAAAGAGCTATTTGTTGATATGTACACCACTTGTAAAAAGGCAGACTGATATAGCTAATTTTTATTTTAAATTGTTTATAATAGCCCGAAAAGGATATTAGGGGAAATAAATATTTTACTATGTTATAGAATAGATAGACAAACGTCGTAAGATGAATAAAATAAAATAAAAATTTGTCGGACAAATTGAGAAATTCGGAATCAGAAGGTACTTTTTGTATGAACTCAAGCATCACAAATGTATAGCTTGACGAGATAGCTAGTACAATAACAAAAATATAATAATCGTTTATTTAGCAATATTTTAGGTTACAAAATCTACTTACGAGTACTATTTACAATAATTGTCAAACTTAAAACGTCTTAGAGGCTCGTATTAGGAAAACCTGTAGGACGAGCACCGCAACCTTCCTCTGACTTACAATATAAAGGCCTTAATGATATAACATAATTAAAACAGATTCATAATTGGGTTTTGGTTGGATGTAACCAAATCAACAGATTCCAGACATTTTCTCTAATAATACAATTCGTACATAGAACATTTCTTGTAACTGTTGATTTGGCTATATCCAACCAAAGCAAGTGTAGAGTTACACTGTAAATTTTAATGTTAACTTTCATTTCATATGAAAATAATTCAAATAGTTCAAATAATTTCTAAGCCTAATGAACCAAAAAACCAAAAAACCAACTGCTTTTGTGTATGGAATTGTACCATCATCAGCCATTGCGGTAACTAGACTTAAATGAAATTATTGTAAATATTACTATCCTAAATTTCAAAAATCCTAAATTTTAGTTTAGTTTCAATATTAAGTTTTTACTAAAAATCAAACCTTTTTTCATGTTGGATACCACATATTATATACATTGACGACAGGTTTGGCTCAGTATGTAGTGACCCTACTTGCTATGCCAGCGAACGCGGGTCCGAGTCCCGCTGGGGGCATTCATTAGTGTGATGAACACGAATGTTTGTACTCCAGTCATGGGTATTTATATTTATAATATGTATGTATTTAACGTTATATATGGTGAAGTGTATCAACTATCTGGTATCCTTAACATAAGCCACGTAGCTTATCATGGAACTAGATGGTGGTGTGTGTTAATGTCCCAACATATTTATTTATTTACATTCAAATGATTATGTGGGACTCACCGGCTAGAAAAGCCAAGTACTACCCACTAAAACCTAATAGAACATTCCCCGTCTTTATAGAGCACCGTAGGATCACTAAATCATCCAACCACGTCGCCCCCACGACAAACCTATTAAAATACATAAATATGATAATGGTGACAAAAAAAGAGTGAGCAAAACCACTGGAAAGGCGAGTTTTTTTATTTTTTTAAACATCCAAAGTGAATAATTTAATAGTAAATATTTCAAATTGTGATGTCAACTAACGAATTGAAATTCTAAACAAACTTGTTGATGTCAAAACATGGTAATTGATTGTCATGATACTGACAACAGCCCTTTGATGATAAATTTTGTTTCCAAACATTTGCTCCCCAAGCATATTTGAATAGGTTAGGTACTTTTATTTATATATTCTATACAAATTTCAAATGTAAATTACTTCGGTGTTGCCAATAGTTATCTTATTGACTGATATTATATATGTACATAAAATTTGTTTACTTAGAACTTGAGCATTACATATTTTTTTTAATATATATAATTTTTTTCTCAGATCCATATTTGGTTAAAAAGTCTGTATATTTTTAGAAAACTTTTTTAAACTTTGTAAATATAAGTTTAAAAAAGCACAAGAAACGTGTAAATAAAGTGAATAATTTATGTCAGTAGACTTTACTGGTTTCTCCACTCGGTATATCGATGTAATAGTAAATTTTATATTAGTTATCTCCATTCTGAATTGTACTCATAAGTATATAAGTAGCACTAGGGACCTATCCTCGCTTCATTCAACTCATTAGACGCCTTTAGTTATAATATAACTGTAGTCCCATTTTTTAACAAATCTTACAACTAATATTAGCCTATGTGTTATTCCATAAGTATATTCCATAGGTCATAGTCTATTTGTGTATCTATTTGTCTTTTATAAAAATCAGTTCAGCCATTTCAGCCTGAAGGAGTAACAAACGTACACGATGATACATACAAACTCTCCTATTTATAATAACAGTGAGATTAGTGTAAAAATAATCACACTTTTAATAAGTTTAAATAAATGTAAGCAAATAAAAAAGAATGATCACGATCCGATTACTAGTTCTGGAGAAATATGTTAAAAACATACATACATATTTACATACAAACACACCTATAACATTTTGTATATTTGTTTGGAAGCCCTAATAGATTATCATATGTGAATATTTTGCAGTTCCAATAATATTACGTAGCCACGTGTCGAATTGACAACCTCCTTATTTTGAAATCGGTTAATAAAAGTCACCTAAATATTCAGATTTACTAATATTTCAATTCAACATGTATATTACACACTTAAAAGAAAAAAACTGAATATGTTGCAAGATAAAGCTTACAACCTCTTTAATACGATAAAAGGCATTTGATCAAAAGGACTGTTATACGAGATTATTATATTGTTCTTTTATATAGAGCGCGACCGCGACGTTTTCAGTGACGAAGGGTTCATAACACTATTAAGCGACACGATTGATTTTTAGATAAGAATATTTTAGTCGATTTATACACATACTAATATGATGGTAGTTGTGTAAATGTTCGTGGCAATAAGCATACTTGCTTATATTTTTCTACTGCAGCAAGACAAAGACAAAAAAGATTTTTCCAAATCAACTTGCTCTTTTTAAAAGATATCTTTACAACGTTATTACCTTATATATTACTGTAATTAACAAGAGAGAGGTTAGAGTTAAGAATTATCGAGACTCGATAAGAAAAACGATCTTCTTTTACATTAATACTCGTATGTATATGGTCTTAAAAGTGACCAGATTTTATGTATTTGATTTAATCTTTATAATTTAACTATGAAAATTTAACTAACGAATATCTATAGTATCTTTTTCTGACTTACCTATAAAGCATTCTCTCCTGTCGATCAGCTTCAACATATATTCGGTAGTACATAAACAGCATAATCACACCGGGAATCCAAAAACTGACACTGCTGGATATCACTGCGTACACTCTGTTCACTGTGAAACTACACACTTTCGGATGTCTTTTCCTAAAATCCAGATGCTCAAGAGTAGTATACCATCCCATGAAAATTGGGAGGAAGGATACCAAAGCTGGACTGCACCAAACTACAGCCAACATAATGCCAAGCTTGCTCGTCGTCATGATCAAAGGATAATCCAAAGGTTGAACAATGGCGTAGTATCTATCAACACTTATACAACATAAATGTAATATCGATGCCGATGAAAAATATACATCTAATGAGTTCCAAACATCACACATGAAGTATCCAAAAAGCCACTGTCCATTTGTTATCTCGACACTGAAGTTAAAGCACATTGCCCAAATCGCTACCAACATATCAGCCAACGCCAATGATACGACAAAGTAATTTGTGATAACCCTCAGTTTCCTGTGTCTCATTACAGAGACTATAACAAGTAGATTTCCAAATATTGCAGCCAAAATGATAAACAGCATGGTAAGACATTTTAAAATAACCAGAAATACGATTATAGGGTCGTCTCGAAATTGGTTGGAATAAATCAAGTCGTTGGTAGTCTCATTTAGCTCGAGACTCCTGTTGACATAGGAATCTGTCAGATACATCGATGTAGATAGGTCTCGGAAATCTAGGGTCAGGTTTTGGGTATCGCTGAGTACGATATCGATATCAACTCTCATGTTTTCACATTTTGTTTGGTTTTGATGCTTTAAGTTATGTTTATTTCTTTTGTTAAAGTAAACGGTGCCACTATGTCCGGACCCGCCCTATTTCGCCCTGCCATTGTGCCTCGCTCGTTACCTGCAAAGGGAAAAGTTGTTTAAAAAGTGATTTCTTTTGTGCGTGCTCAATTTGGAGTTCTTGACGGCTTATTGGCAGAAGTTTTACTTTTTCGGTTCATGATAAGCAGATGGACGAAAGATATCTGTTTGGTAACTTTGTGATTTTTTTTGATTTTGGTGATATTATAAGATGCATTTATATCAAAATCTTCTCATAAGAAGATTTTAGATACTGTTCACGCAATATTTGTGTATTTGAATTTTTGTTAAAATGATTTAAATAATTTAAATAAACTATAACGTTAATAATTGATAGTGATAAATAAAACTATTGTTTCTACCACAACATGGGATGACACAACATAGGATTGTAGAATGCCTTATACACTTATGTACATATCGCGGCAAGGAGGAAACGTGTATCTGTCCGACTGCATAATACTATATTCCTTCGTCAACTTGTTTTCATCTTTTTAGTTAGCTTCTATGCAGTCGGTTTTTTTTTAATTTTTATAATATATATTTTTTATTTTATAAGCCATTTCTTATGATCTAGTTTAGTACATCGGCATTATAATCATCTTAGAATCCAATTGTAGCTTAATACCTAAATGCAAAATAATTTGAAATATAAAGTAGTGTTAATAAACTTCTTATTTTGACTTTATCAAATCATTTTTACTAAATTTGATAACTACGACATTTTACAGAACACTATGTATTAGAAGTTACTGAAGCGATTTAATTTCAAACGAACAGATAAAAGGGACGGTCGTCTTAAATTCTATTTCGTCATCTCCCCCGATTCATTACGCCGCGGACGGATATCCTCTCCGCTATCCCTTGATATCTGAAAATCTTGTCTCTAATAGCTTTTGCTAAGTAAATATTTTATATTAAAAAAGATAATAGATATTTCCTTTCGTTTAACTTCTATGTAAGCATATTTCTGGAGGTTTTAGGGAGATATAGTAAATGTAATGAATTCACTAAATGAAGTAACTTTATTATACATTATTATAAATTGAAATCCCCTGCCATGCTAAGTTTGTGTTTATTTGGACTAATCTCAAAAATACTACGCAATGCTTTATATGGTTTTAACAAAAAAAAACTCTTGGAAAGCTATACTTTATAATATACAATGAACATAATGACTACACGTATGATTCAGTTCGTAGTGGCCCTGCTTGCTGTTCTGTTTTTCGTATGAGTAACATATCATGGAACTAGATGATTATGTGTGTTCTAACACATTTATTATTATTATAACTGAGGTTAGTAATGAGTGCGATTTTTTGAAAACTCCCCCCTTATATGACACGGAAGTTATAAATATGGAAATTGACATTAAACTTCTGCTAATATTACCGATGGCATATCCGATTCACAGCAACCAATTAAAAAATTTTGTTTTCATTTTTAAAATTCGAAAAAAAATTAGTAATTATGGAAGGCCCACTACCGGACCGGGCTTAAAAGTTGCATGATAGATAGAAGTTTAAAATAGAAAATTTACGAAAAAATCGAAGGATACACACAGTTTTAAAACACGATTGAATACTTAAAATTCAAGTCTCGATTAAAAACATTGTAAATTTTTTTTTTAATTTATTTTCTAAATGTGATCTAAAGACAAAAAAAATTTTGAATGCAAAACACCAAAAAAAGAGCGGTTTTTAACCAGTGATCAAAAATTTTAAAATTTACCAGGCTTCTTTTGAGGGGTACTAAAAATACCAAAATATTAAGAAAATCAAAAATAAAAATTTTTGAAACCGTCCAATTTGACATGGAATGCCCCTATATACAGCACATATAAGAAAAACACATTTTTTGTCTGTCTGTTTATTCCGGGTAATCTCCGAAACGGCTGAACTAATTTTGACGGGACTTTCACTGGAAAATAGCTGATGTTATAAGGAGTAACTTGGGCTACTTAAAATGGAATAAAAGTACCGTCAAGATATCCAAGAATACATAATTTTACTTAAAAAAATTCTGAAAATTATAATGTTCATTGTATTTTCTGGCTGATAGTGATGCATAATTATAATTATTACATGAATATAAATTTTTTAACGTTATTTTAAAAATAAACTTTTGAACCATCCGGCTCAATAATAACTGCAAATAAATCCTTATTTGCAATACTAAAGTACATAATATTATGATATATACTACGTTCATTTTTAGATCATCTGTGTATATGGATATACCATATACTAAATTTTATTTTTATAATAATACTAGCGACTCACCATCGCTCCGTTCAGGATCGTTCCTAGGTACGTTTTGACGGTTAATATGGATTTCTCAGAGATGATTATAATGATATTTTCCCGCTGTAAAAAGTATCTTAAATGTTGAACCAGCTATCATCATACACCACCACTGTGTACTGGCTTTGCCGGTGAGTCCCACACCTCGTGCGTTAATGCATTTCCCAACGTTAAAAAAAAAGCTATCGTCATACCAAATTTCATCAAGTTCTTCCAGTGGTTTTTCCGTGATGCGGTGTAGATAGTCATAGATAGATAAAAAATCTAAAAACTATAGATTTGGCCTCTGTATCAATAATAATAACTATTTCAATAAGATTTTCCAAAAAATATTTAATGTACAGATTCGACTCAGTTAGAATTTCATTATATGTATAGATGTATTATGTTCAGTGGACAAAAATATAGGTGAACAGATCGATAGAACAAAGACAAACGAGGTATTAAGGTTATAAGGGTTTCAGTATTCAGTATGGAGCCCTAAAAATAACATTCCACATATTTTTGTGTAACGAAGAAAGAACATTCAAAGAATATTTCGTTAAATCTTACTTGAGACCAAAGAAGTACAATCGCAGAGTGGTCAACAAATACACCAAGATTAAGCTTTGTGAGGCCACTTTGTAGGCTTATGTACTTGACGGTGCACAACACGAGTATAGAAAAGCATTTATTTTTGTTTCAGTTCCAGTTAGACGCTTACTTGGAAGATTCTTTAGAGCTTTCGTGTTTATACTTAACGACTAGACGAAAGCTTTTGAACCATTGAACTATTAAGTTTATTAAATTAAAAGAATCTTTTAAATCATATCTATACTAATATTATAAAGAGGAAAGACTTTTTTGTTTGTTTGCTTGTACTGAATAAGCTCCGAAAACACTGGACCGATTAAGATAACATTTGCTAAGAAGATAGTTTGAGACCCTGGGAAGGACATAGAATAGTTTTTATCTCGGAAATCATTCTTTAAGGGGGTGAAAATGATATACAAAGGTAATATGAAAATACGTTTTTTTTCTACGTTTTTATTTTTGTTCCGTCATAAAAACGATAAACTTATATTATGGTAGAGGTACTGAACAGAGTGTAATGGCGAATCCTTATGATAATCTGCCGCACTTGAATAAATCCCAAAATCCCTTCTTGGGCCCCCCTACCATATTGAGCATAAATATATCGACACCTGCAAACAACGACATTGTAACTGTGTATAGAAATAATTTAAAAAAAATATATATATTTCTCATAATTTTTGCTCCTTGTTCCTTGCTAGTATCAAATAATACTGTTAAGTCAAAAACTCTTCTGTGATTTGATTTCATATCACTGAGGTATTTAATTGGTATTAATATTAAAGCCAAGATTGTTCACAATGAATTGTTTACACTCAGTTTTAAATAAATATAATAAAAATAAATCCGCGAATAAATCCGAACAGATAGTTTTATTTAAAACTAGCAGAACCCGCGGCTTCTCTTGCGCTAAAACTATCTAAACAGGTAGTTTCATACAAACTTTCATCTCCTATTTTAGCCCCTTATAGAATGAATTTCGAAAAGTGCTAAAACACGTATTTATTTAATTTTATTGAGGGGCATTAATGCCAAGTTTCGTGTAATTCTGATCATAACTATTTGTTTGGATTGTATTATAACGTGTTTTCCCGGGGAAATGAGATAATCTCTCGCGGTAAAAGTAGTCTATGTCACTCTCCAGCCATCCAACTATTTCCACACAAAAAATCACGTCAATCCGTTTCTCCGTTTCGACGTGAAAGAAGGACAAACAAATAAACAAACACACTTTCACATTTATAATATTAGTATGGATGTCAAATATTCATGTAAATCTAAGAAAGTATTATACACTCAGTTATAAAAAAATTAGAATGAAGCCTAAAGAATTTGTATAGACTTAAAAAATAACACAGCGACACACTTATACTCGTAATATAAATAATAAACCATTCCTATATACATATCAAAGAAGATCTGTAAAAAGTATGCTGTAGAAAGATAATAGGGAAATATTTAAGTGATTTGTGCATAAAACATTATACGTAGGGGAGAAGGTCGATTGTATAAATAATACGCTCTAGATAAAGCTGGAATAAAAATATTATGAATATATCAAGTGTAGAGCCGTACGCAAATAAAACGCTCTTATGAAAAAATAACATAGGTACTAAAGGTATTGTACTCTAGTTATTGCACGAGATTTCGTTGTCATATAATTTTAAAGTCGTATTGGTTAATTCATTTTCATATTTCTACACGACTTAGCGTTTTTAATAATATTTATTTTTATGGTATTCAGTGACAAACGAGCAGACAGCTCACCTGATGAAAATCGGTACCTGTCGCTCATAACACCTACGGCTCACGCACTTAGGTTTTATGCTACAAACATGCAAAACCGCAGGTGCGTTGTCACTGTGAAGACTAAGATGATATGCCTCTTGCCTGTAATTGCGCTGTCTACCTTATCCTTCAAACCAGAACACAACAATGTAATCATTGTTGCTTGGCGGGGGAAATACATAAGGGGGTGGTACCCATCCAGTCGGACTCCTCAGGCTTGACAGAGTCCTACCACCAATTAATATAGGCTTTTTA